TTTAATTAATATAATGTAACTTTAATTAAATATGATTTCATGTAATTTAATTATTTTTTTTGCTCAGACAGCCTATTTTTGGGGAGCATGAACATCACTAAAAAGCCAAAAAAGTTGCACATTTCTGAATTAAAGGAAATATACAAACACACAACCATCTGATTGACACCAAAGATTCTGTGCTTATCTGAAAGGATTCCCTATTTCAGATGACAGGAACATTATAATGCTAGTTTTGTATGTTTCCAAAAGGATTAGAATTAATATATTTATAATTTCTTGAAACTGGGTAGTGACTATTTCCACAAATTAGTTCTCTCTTTCTTTATGTCTAGCCACTTCACACAGAACCATTGCAAATATGACTTTAAAAAAATTAATATCCCTGAATAATGGTCTCCTGATTTGTATTCTGGTATTATTATACTACCCAGTTAGTTTTAATGAGTTGGATTAGGAAATATGAGTTAGGACATGTTTATGTAACCATGTTAAATTCTCCATAGCTTCTCTAAGATGAAATACAAGTATTTTAACAGTTCTAAATTGTAACTTTTGATAGCTTATTCAATTTATTTAAATGTTATGGAATATTCTTTGTATTTTAAATATATGCTTTTGCTTCACACTATCTATAAAATATGAAAATGTTAATTCTATTCAGTTCACCTAAAACACTACAATAAATTGTATCCCACTATGATCCCTGATAAAAAAAACTTTTTGCTTGGGACTATTGTAACCTGTTTGGCCATAGCCTGTGATGGTATATAAAAGTTTTGTTGTGATAGCATATTTGTTTCCTTAAGCTAAAGTTGCAGTGATAAACTTCCACAGTGAAAATGAAACATGTCATAAGCTGCACTGGGTATAAACAGGTAGAGAAAAAAAATGTAATCTTGATATTTGTGAGTACAACTTTAAACCATGTATAGTGGTCCTTAAAGTTTGTGAACCTTTTTGAATTTTAAATATTTCTGTATAAATATGACTTAACTATGATTTGTTCTCCATACAAGCTCAACAAATGAGTTAAGACATACTGTTCATTTATTTATTGAATAAAGTGATCCAAAGCTGCATATTTATGTCAGGCAAACGTGTGAAGAAGCTATCTAAATAAAATTAATTAGAAAAACATTATTTACCTAGTCAAATTCAGTAGATAAATTATATCCAGCTTCATATATAGGATGCAATGTTTTTATCTTATTCAATTTATTTCCTAGGAAAACCCTAATGGCTGAGAGAAATAGTGACCTTTAGTTACCAAGTCAATTTCCTTGACTGAAGATGATCTTCAGCTTAGATTCCCACAATTCCTCAACAACATACTCATTACACTGGGAGGGCAGAGCTGGCGTCGCGACAATACGGCCTGCGATCTTGGAGGTCTGAGATCGCTGCCAATATCTTTGCTCCTGGACAATCCTATTGGATCTAAACCATCCCGAAGAGATGGTGAAAGTGAAGAGCGCATCCTGTCGATCCCAGGGACACTGCAAAGTTCCTGGTACATCCAGGAGAAGCTATTCTTGCCAACGGCAAAGAGGCAGCCATTAAGGCTGCTGAAGTTGGGACAGCTCCGAAACGGAAGAGAACAGAAAGAGAGAGTGTGCCGGTTTGGTGAGAACTTTTTCTTTATTCTAAGATTTGAAAGGACACCCTAAGGAAAAGAAAGAATCTGTAAAAGTTTTGACAGAAGTGATTAAGCGGCGATTTTAAACAGGAATGTTAAAGTAATGTTTTTTTCTCATTGCTGGATTTTCTATACATGATCTTATATTTTGAAACTGGACTGGCTTTTTCTTTTCCATCCTTTTTTTTCCTCCTTTTTGATTTTGTAACCATTTTAGGGTAGAGTTATTTTAGTTATTTTAGTTATTCTTTTTTAAAATATATTTTTCTTTTTTTTATTAATTCTTATTGCATTTTGCTTGGAAAAGGAGGGGGAAAGTGAAAGCAAAGAAACTTTGTAACACTGCCAACTAGAGGCTTGGAAATATTCTATTTCTCTTGTGACCAGACAAAGTTGAGAAAGAAAGAATTGAGACTTTTTTTTCAAGGACATTGCTATTTGATAAGATAGAGGGAAGATCATGGGAGAGTATTATTGCAGGTGCTCTTCTGGGTTTCTATCAACAGCTGGAGTCTGGTGTTGAAGTTTATAGGAAAAGAAAAGGTGATAAGTTTCTGGAGAAGAGTGTTATAACAACAGCCTTGGATAACTAAACAAAGTGCAGTGTGTTTTTTTGATTTTTCCTAAGCTGTGTACCCCTCCTCAACAGTTTACTTTTTGAAATAGCTATTTGGACTTTTAGTTCTTTGGAACTTGTCTTTGCTTTTTTTTTATGCTTGTCTTTGGAAGTTAACTTTTAACATTTTTTTATTTTAAAAGAAATGTTTTAGTATTAATGATTCTCTTCCTTTTCTTTTTAAGGGAGTAGCCTTTTGTTCTTTTTCTCTTTTTGCCTTTCTGGTACTTTTGTTTTTCCATCTACCTCCAATACTGGTTTTTTTCTTTCTTTTTTTCTTCCTGGCTTTTTCTTTCTTTTTCTCTTATGCAGCCTCTTATATTTGAGACCTCTTAATTGGATTAAGGTGTTGAAGAACCTGAAGAATTTTTCCTTTTTTAAGGCTTTTTTATTCTTCACTTTTCTGTCTTTTTTAGGATTTTACAACTTTTTCTCCTTTGTGTATGTTTATGGTTTTTTCCTTCATTTTTGAATTTTCATTGTTATCTAACTAATTGATTGGATTAAGGTATACAAGAACCTGAAGAAATTCTTTTTCTTTTTTTTTATTATTATTACTATTTGGCTTCTTTTTCCCTACTATTTTTATTTGGAATCGCAATTGGTTACTTCACAATTGGATTAAGGTCTAGAAGAACCTGAAGATTTTGAATTGTTTGAAATGAGTAGGAAATTAACAGCTACTGGTTCTTCAACTTCTATTTCCTCCTCTCCACCATCTGGAGTATAACGTTCAATACAGACAATGTTAAGGCAAGAGAAAGAACAAGAAAAAGAAAAAGTGACCCTGCAGATGATTATGCAAGGAATTCAAAACATTCAAACAAGATCAGAGAATATTGAAAAGAGAATAGAGAACATTGAACAAAGAACAAAAAACATTGAACAAAGAACAGGGGAAACTGATGAAAAAGTCGAGAACATCCAACAAATGATGATGAAGTATGATGAGAGACTACTAAAAGTTGAAGAAGAAGATAAACAAAGAGATAAGAAGATTGGAGACATTGATACCAGATTAACTGTGGTTGAACAAGATAAAAGTGGTATGCTGAGATGGGAGATGGACAGATCAGAATTTTATCTCAGATTCCAAAACATAGAGGAAGAAAAAGGACAAAATCTAGCTCAGATAATGATAGAAATATTGGCTGAATCTTTGGAAATAACTGAAGAGAAGATGATGTATGGAATAGATGAGGTTTATCGCGTCTTCACAAAATACGCAATGAGAAATAGCCTACCAAGAGAAGTTCACATCAGATTTACAAAGAAAGCCATTAAAACGCAAATATTGCAAATATAGCAAGTGGCAAGAGAGAAAACATTGAAATATAAAGATAAGGAGATTGTGGTTTCGAAACAAGTACCCAGAAGAGTGAGAGAGATGAGAAGAGAATACCGATTCTTAACCAAATTGCTACTTAAAAAAGAGGTGAATTATAGATGGTTGGTTCCCGAAGGTTTAATGTTCACATGGCAAGAACAGAGATACAGAATTGATTCAACTGAGAAAGCTGAATTTCAGAGGGAAAGAGGAAGAGGCAGAAAAAGAAATTTCACTAATTGAATTCCAAGAGGACTGCCAAATGACGACTGAAAAGGATAATGTGAACCAAGATCCACAAGAGCTGCCAAACCTAATTATAAAATATAACCATGGAAGAGAAAAAATTGATTACAATTAATATAAATGGACTTAATTCAGCCATTAAAAGAAGGAAAACTTTCCATAAATTAGAGAAATTAAAATTTGATATAGTCTGCCTACAAGAAGTACATATTAAAAAGCAATATGAACAATTGTTGATACAGCCAAAACTAGGGAAAATATTTACCTCCTTGACACAATGCAAGAAAAGAGGAGTTGTTTTATATATTAAAGAGACCATTCCAGCGAATATACTGATGATGATAGAAGAATACTAATGGTGGAAATAATGAATAATAATACCAAAACACTCCTGATTGCAATCTATGCCCCGAATGACAAACAAGAAGAATTTTAGAAAAAATTACATATCAAAATAATTGAACTGGACTATGCTAATATAGTTATGATGGGAGATTTTAATGGAATTGTAGACAACAAACTGGACTATACAGCACAGAAAACAATAAAGCAAAACAGAAGGACTCTCCCTAAATCTTTTTTTAATATGGTAGATGAAATAAACTTAAAAGATACATGGAGAGAAAGAAATGCTAAAACTAAACAATACACCTTCTACTCAAATAGACACTTATCATGGTCCATAATAGATATGATATGGATGTCAACAGGGTTGTTAACTATTATTCAAGAAATAAATATTGAAACAAGTACTTGGGCAGATCACAATCCAATGACAATTAAATGGAAAGGGCAAAGAAGAAGATCTAGATGGACGCTAAATAATACTATTTTAAGGGAAAAAGACTTCACACAGTGGATGGAGAAAGAACTGGCTTTTTTCTTTAGAGAAAACAAAAAAGAAGATACATCAATCCAGAATGTATGGGATACAATGAAGGCATATGCCAGAGGCTTTATAATAGACTATACAAGGAAAAGAAATACCACGAAAAGATTAGCCTCTAAGGCATTAGAGGATGAGTATAAAGGACTTGAAAAAGAGCTACAGAAAATGCCACAGAAAAAGGACATTAAGTTAAAAATGGATATAACCAAACATAAAATGGGTTTAATAGAAAAAGAAGAATTAGCACAGAAAATTAGAGGTGTTAAACAGAATTACGTTGAAGATGCAAATAAACCAGGTAGATGGTTAGCATATAAATTGAGAAAGGAGAAAGAATCAAGGAAAATATTGCAATTAATAGATGATCAAGGCTAAGTTTGCTATGGTAGTAAAGAGAAGAAGGAAATTATTCGAGACTATTATGAGAAACTATACACACAAGAGAATATTGATGAGGAAAGAGTCAAACAGTACCTACAGAATGCTAAGTTACCCCAGATACCTAAACAGATTGAAACAATGTTAGAAAGCAATTTAACGATGATGGAGTTAACTGAAACACTCAAGAAGCAAAATAATGGAAAGGCACCAGGCCCAGATGGACTTCCACCAGAATTTTACAAAACATTACAAGAATCATTGAATCTTCCATTGCTAGAAGTTATGAATGAAGTCATGTTAAAGAATAGGATACCTAAATCATGGTCAGAAGCTTATATTACACTTGTTCCAAAAGAGGAGGCCGATCCATTACAAATTAAGAACTATAGACCTATTTCCCTACTAAACGCACATTATAAAATTTTTGCTTCAATATTGGCAGAAAGACTTAAAAAATACTTAAACAATTTATCCATCCTGATCAAAATGGATTTCTGCCAAAGAGACAAATTAAAGACAATATGACAGTAATCTTGGACACTTTGGAATACTATGAGGCACATCCTGAAAAACAAATGGCTTTGATATTTTTAGATGCACAGAAGGCATTTGATAATGTGAATGGGTGATTCATGTAATTACTGCTGGAACAGATGGGCTTTGCTAGAAAATTTATTCAAGCAATAGAAGCTATATACCCTAAGCAAACGGCAAAGGTAATGATAGAGGGAGAACTGACAGACTCTATCAATATAAGAAAGGGAACAAGACAAAGGTGCCCACTATCACCTCTGTTGTTTGTGTTAACTTTGGAAGTGCTAAATAGAAATATTAGAGATGAAAAGAATATAAAAGGGATGAAAATTAAAAAGGAAGAATTTAAGTTGCAAGCATTTGCAGATGATCTGGTTTTTATTTTAGAAGACCCACTAGAAACAGTATCAAAATTGATAGAAAAGATAGAGACATATGGAAAGGTGGCTGGTTTGAAAGTAAAACAAATCTGGTCATGTTACCAATTTCAAAAGCCGATACAAAAATTTATGCCACCAAATAAAGACCGAATGCACCAATTATCACATTAAACAAGAGGAAAACCTTCTAAGCACCAATTCCACCAGTGCTTTTTACAATTTTGTAAACAACAAACTAAAAGATTCAAGGTCCATCCCACCCCTGATAGGACCTAATGGTAAAGACTGCAACGACGACACCATTAAAGCCAACATCTTTAACACATTTTTTGGCTCAGTATTTGTAAACAGCAATGGATCATGCCCAGTATTTCCTAGCCGAACCACAGATAACTACAATGATCTAATACATATCGATTTTACAGAAGACAATGTTGAAAAAGCACTACACAATCTAAAACCATCTCTATCTATTGGACCGGATGGAATATGTGCCTATTTCTTAAAAAAGCTATCCACTGCCATAGCCAAACCTCTAAGCATAATCTTTGAAAAATCTTTCAGGACCAGTTCCTTGCCTAACCTATGGTCAAAAGCCACAGTCATCCCCATCTTCAAAAAGGGAGACCCTTGCCTAGTTGAAAATTACAGACCAATCTCCTTATGCTGCGTCACCTGTAAAGTCATGGAATCAATTATTAACCAATCCATCATCCTCCACTTAGAGACAAACAACCTACTCTCCAATAAACAATTTGGTTTCAAAAAAAAACTATCCTGTAATCTGCAACTCTTACACTGCAAAAACATATGGACTACACAACTTGATCAGGGCAAAACAATAGATGCAATCTACATAGACTTCTGTAAAGCCTTTGATTCAGTGGTACATGACAAACTACT